GCCTGGGCCCACAGCCGCGCCGCGCTCGCCCGGCTGGAGAAGCTGCTGCGCTGCTCGCGCTGGTAAGGAGCGACCCTCGAGGGGCGGGGGCGCCGGCTCTCGCGGCGGGCATCTGTCCAAACCCCCGCTGCCCTCCTCCCGCGCCCGCCCGCAGTCGGGCCGGCCAGCCCGGCTAGGACGATCCGTCCCCCTGCCCGGGGACCCGGGGTCAGTTATCCCCTCCCGGCCCCCTTCACATCCTTCCGGGGCGCCCTCTAGCCTTTGGCGGCCCCAGACCCCTCCAAGATGGTCGTTCTCGCAGCTGAGCGGGCCCGGGCGTCGTCGGGAGGTGCGGTTGAAAATGTCCACCTCTGGGCCCGCCTCCACTTTGAATCTGCAGGGCTGGGGTGGGGCTAAGGCGTCTGCGCTTGTTACTGGCTCCCGGGTCCTTGTGATGAAGCTAATTCCAGAACCTCGCGCCAAGGACTGCCGAGTTTGAAGAGGCCTGCAAAGTTGGAAGCAGCTGTCACTCTTGGCTGAGCCGGCCGCTTTGACTTTTCCCCGTAGTAGCTTTTTTTTTGGGGAGAGGGGAGAGCTTTGGGGACGCCTGTTGGGGGCAGATTCAAGAGATGGCAGTGTGATGGACACCGCCATTCTATTTCTCATTCAGTTTCTCATTTCCTTGTTTTGGTTAAAAGACTGGAATGGCCTGGGGTCCCAGCTCTTAGAGATGCTGTTTATTATCATTTTTTCCTTCTTGTTTTCCTTCATGCTGTTACACACCATAGGAGTCCTCTCGGTTCAGGATTTTCCTTACGTCTGAAGACATCATTTTCATGACTGGTACTCCTTGGCTTCTCTTTTTCCTGTAGCTCTTCCTAGTACAGAAACCAGGAAGGTTTATAAAACCCAAGAAGGGCTTGTCTCATTTTTCATTTCTAGCAAAAGCTTTTATTCAGCACCTGCTGTGTGCACAGATCCCTGTTTCTGGATCAGTATCACTCTGGCAGGTTTTCTTTCTGCTTATCGCTGTCTCGCCGCTATTTCTTTTTTGGACTTTCTTTTGATTTTTTTTTTTCCCCATCTGATTTTAAACTTGCAGAACTTAGTTGTACATAAAGTGTAAGTGACATGACAACTTTTTCTTTAAAAATGAAAAGGACTTAACTGTCACAGAGTTTTGCGCTTATACTTTGTTTTCCAAAAAGCTTAAAACCTGTGACAAAATAACATCATCTCACTCCTTAGAAAAGTGGCACTTTTGCTAGAATGAGTTCATGAAGATATTCTGATTTGTGTGTGCTTTCCCATGGCACGTGGGTCATCCCTTTGAGAATAAGGAATTTGAAACTGGCTCTGTTAGTTGCTATAATAGAAGCGATTGTACTCACACCTTAATAGTCAGTTCAGCAAAAGTTAGACGTTCAGATGGGACATTTCTGTATGGAAGGCACTAGGGCAGCAGCATGGCGCTTCACTTAGGCTGTAGGGTCAGACTGCCTGAGTTCAGCTTCCAGCTTTGACACTATCAAGTGGCCCAAGTCATTAAACCTCGCTGTGCCTCAGTTTCCCCACCTGAGTGATGATAGTGCTGAGCTCATCCTGTGAGGATTCGTTAATAATAACCAGAAATTACTGAGCACCTACAAAGTGCCACACGTGTTCTAGGCATTGGGTATTGATTAGTGAACAAAGCAGACAACCCCAATCCTAAGGAAGCTAACATTCTGTGGGAGGGAAGAAATTAAATGAAATTATACATATAAAGTGTTGAGTATGGTGGTTGTTTTAGAATAAGTGATAAATAATAGATGTCTTATAAAAATTAAAAAAAGCATCATCTGCTTGCTGAATGGTTTGGGGGGGACAAAAACAGGTGATCTGTATGAACAATCTATAGGTTGGACTGAAATCTAATAAAGCCAGGTTCATGTTTTATCCCCTCCCAAATATTTTTTCAGTTTCTGATGGAAGTGAGCAGATGATAAGAGCCAAAGAACTGAAAGTCAACATCAGTAACTAGGTCCAAACTTTTAATATAACTCATCCAGTTGCCTGGAGGATGGTATTGAATTCCAGTGATTTTTTTTTTTTTAAGAAAAATATTTGAACCAGTGCTGGATGAACTAAATCTCCACTGTTTTGTTGGATGTATATTTTAACATAGGGCTCTGCAGGCTTTCTGTAAAGGGTTATATAGTAAATATTTTAGGCTTTGCTGGCCACAGTCTCTCTTCTTATTATTTTTGTTTTTTACAACCCTTAAAAATGTGAAAAGCCGTTCTTAGCTCAGGGCTGTGCAGAAGCAGGCCGCTGGCTTGATTTGGCACATAGGCAGTAGTTTGCCAAATTTCATTTTAACAGGTAAAATGTCTTAAGTTTAAAAATTCTTTTCGGTGTATAATCTTCTATCACATGGGGTATAATATTTAGAAATGATTTTGTGTTCCTCTTGGTGTCTCTCTGCACGTTTGGCACTGTCTATAGTGAGTAGAGCATGGCCATTGCTCCTTACCCATGGGGGAAAAAAACAACATTCTTTCCACCTCTGCCTTTACCTTAGCTGCCTGACATCATTGCTTGAAAGGAGCAACTCAGGGTGGTCTGCTTCTTGCTTTTGCTACCCACCGTTCAAAGCAGTGTCATATTCTTTGAAATTGTCAGTATGTCCTTTTACAGAGTTTCAGAGTTCTACCCAGGGGGCCAGTGATTGCCCCGATTACCCTCACGTTCAGCTAGCAGCTGTCACCTGTCTTGTGTGGCACACTGGGTCTGTTTCACAGCAAGCATTGCTTGTGGGTGAGGGTGATTGGAGACGTTACAGGGCATCCTTTCTTGACCTTTAACGTAAGTCTGGCTCCAAGGTGAAGGTGATGAAATTGTTCAAGAGGCCGCGTGTGACATTTGTGTTTAGGTCCCAGCCTCACAACCGGAGAGAAGCTATTTAAAGATTTGGAAAAAGGAGACAGGAAGACGGTATCGTTTGAGAGGCCGGCAGAAAGCATAGTAATAATGTGTTCCTAAAGGAAGCCGGGAGTGATAATAGGAGCTGTAGGTAAAAGCCCAGCTGTCATATGACACTATGTTGTGAGTTACAATAATTAGGTACGTCTTCGCATATTTTTTGGGAGGGAGGGTTGGCATCTATGACAGTTGTAACTTGGAGTTCTGGCACCTTTTAAATCAACTTTTAGTAAAAAGTCAAAAAGTAATCTTGTGATTTTTAGGATAGGTGATTTTATTTTTCTGAACTTTCTCTTGCCATTTAAAAGGCCATCAGGATTAATATTTTCTCTTCTATTTGGAGGCAGCATAGCTTCGTGGTTAAGAGCATAGATTTTGGACCCTGCCTTCAAATCCTGACTCTGATTTTGGGCAAATTATCTCATCTTTGTATGTTTCCTTTTCTTCATCTGCAAAATGAGTTAGTAGTAGCTTCTACCATATAAAGTTGTTAGGGGAATTAAATGAGTTAATATTTATAAGGTACGTAGAATAGTGCCTGTTATATTCTAAGTGCTATAGGAATGTTTGTAAAATAAAGGATAGATTTCCTGACCCCAGCCAGCGTTCAGCTTTTGCCCTCAGGAGTTTCCAGTGTTCTGAGGCATTCGTCTAGGCCAGTGATCCGTAAATGGGTTGATTACTCTCTTCGGTTTGCTCTGGTGCTGGTTATTCATTAGGACAACAAGCCATCACTGAGGCACTTTGTTAATCGTGAGATGGTGAGACATTTTCTACCCTTAAGCAGCCTACGCTTAATTATAAGGGATGAAATGTACACACGATTCAGGGTAAATTATCATGAAGGCCAAGGGGCTGCAGAGGAGGGTACTTGGGTGGAGCCAGTGGAGGAAAGCTTCGTGGGCTTTTGAATTGGGCCTTGGATAGATTTTTATAGATGGAGCCAGGTGAGGGATTATTAACAAATAACAATATGCTAAAAAGTAGGGCCGGCCCCGTGGCTTAGCGGTTAAGTGCGCGTGCTCCGCTACTGGCGGCCCAGGTTCAGATCCCGGGCGCGCACTGACGCACCGCTTCTCCAGCCATGCGGAGGCCGCGTCCCACATACAGCAACTAGAAGGATGTGCAACTATAACATACAACTATCTGCTGGGGCTCTGGGGAAAAAACAAGGAGGAGGATTGGCAATAGATGTTAGCTCAGGGCCAGTCTTCCTCAGCAAAAAGAGGAGGATTAGCATGGATGTTAGCTCAGGGCTGATCTTCCTCACAAAAAAAAAAAAGGAAAAAAAAAACAATATGCTAAAAAGTATTGCATAATAAAAGGGGAGCGGGTCAGGTGGGCAGGGAGTTAAGACAGGGTCAAATCATAGTGATTAGTAGCCTAACAACGGACCTTTCAGTTGGTTCATATAGTTACTTCCTAAGGAGAGCAATTCGTGTAAATTTCCTGAGACTTCAATTTCCTCATCTATAAAATGAAGGAAATGGAGTGATTGATTTTTAAGGCTCCCTTTAGTTCTCAGATTCCATAATTATTAATCCATTGGATGCAAAATGGTGTTTAAAACTTTTGATTAAAGTTTAACATATATATGCCAGCCCTGGTGGTCTAGTGGTTAAGAGTCACTGCTCTCACTGCCCCGCCCTGGATTTGTTTCCAGTCAGGGAACCACGCCACCCCTCTGTCAGTTGTCATACTGTGGTGGCTGCGTGTTGCTATGACACTGAAAGCTATGCCACCGGGATTTCAAACACCAGCAGCGTCACCCATCGTGGACAGGTTTCAGCGGAGCTTCCAGACTAAGACAGACTAGGAAGAAGGACCTGGCACCCACTTCCAAAAAAATTGGCCATGAAAACCCTGTGAATAGCAGCAGAGCATTGTCTGATATAGCGCCAGAAGGTGAGAGGACGGCGCAGAGACTGGGCAGGGTTCTGCTCTGCTGTCCACAGGGTCACTAGGAGTCCGAATCCACTTGAGGGCACTGACAGCAACATACATACAGAAAAGGGCACAAATCGTTGGTGTTCAGCATGTATCATATATCCCTCCAAATGGTGGGATTTATTTACTTGTGTGGTATTTTGATTCTTTGACTGATGTCTGTCTCTTTCAG